AGCCTGGAGATTCCGTCTGGTGTGCTTCTTAATGGATAATTTGATTTCTTCGACAACCAAAGACGTGAGATGCGTACAATGTAAGTAGTTCTGTCATTTCAGTCAATCTGACTATTTTCTCGTTTGCAAGAACATCTGATCTGATGTAATCATCTGATGTAAGCATCTGATGTAAGCATCTGATGTAAGCATCTGGTAAGCTTCTGACTTGAGATTAGCATACTCATCTTCTCAGCGATTCACCACAGCAATCGGACCCCCAGTGGGACTTGCCTCAGCCCTAGTATAGCCCTTGTAGCATGTCCGGTGGTAACAAGCTTCAGCTCTTACGATTTCACACGACACAATTGCGAGAATCCTGCTGTCCTTCTTTTCCATGGCTGATTTTCTAATTGAGTGATCTGCACGTAAATCTCTGCATTGTTCCAAGGGTTCCCGATTTCTTGTTCTCTTAAGGTACTTCTTTTCGCAGAATATGCAGACATGTTCGTAAGTTGCGCTGGTGGTAGGGGACTGTCGGATCGAGGTCCTCTGAGTTGCCGTTGGTTGCTGGTCGTCAGTTCAGCTTGTTGATTTGAAATTGTTTCCAAGAGCTTTTTCATGGTAAACACGCTACGACATTTCCTGTGATAATAAATGTTGGGATTTCTCCTTCATTTAATGTCTCAGCAATATCAAGGTGTTTGTGTTTATGAACAGCAGCTGCTCACCTCTTACAAGTGTACTCCAGGACTCCTCATCTTTTGGTCTAACTAGTTCCGTATCATCGTCATTACAGTGAATAATACATGCACAACTGGACTGTTCTGACCGTGATCGCTTTTGATTGATGATTTGTTCTTCAGGCGTGACATTTCCTCTTTTTGTGCCACCTATTCAGTCATGCAAGGTTTTACGTCAATATTGAGACTTAAAGGCTTTAAAAAGCCATTTTTAAATCGGTTTAATTTAAGCGCTGAAGTTTGTATTTATTTATTCAGGTGTTCGTTCTTCACCAAAAATGATTTTATATAAACAACAAAAGCAGCACATCCGTACTGGTCATTGTAAATTAACTTAGTCACTATATATGAATGAAATCATCTTTAGAATGTATGAAACGACCCTCATATCAAAGGAAAACTATTATTTGATATCGTTTTCCTTTTGATGTATTTCAAACTCCATATTTTTCAAAATCTCTCATTATGTCATCTCCTGCTACACCTTCTGTATAAAATGACGAATGATATATACTCGAACGTCTATTTCGAGGATCTGTAGGTTTCTTGTCAAAAATCGACACTATCCGCTTAATATTTAGTTAACTGATTTCTCTAAATGTTTACCTAGATGCTTATTGTTTATTTATCCCCTGAAAACATTTCTCGTTGCTATAAGGGACCCAAATTTTAGCACAAATTAGCCCCACACACCTGTCAAGAACGCCGCCATCTTGGATTTACCCGTGATGAAATGTGAATGACATCGTTGGTTGTTTTTAGTTTTTTGTGTAATCCTGACACAAATATCTACTTCTAACAACTTCGAGGAGAAAAACAATTGTTTTCCTTTTTTTCAAATATCTAAAGCACAGATAAAACGATCGTGACCATATATTTAGAGGTTCTTCTTCTGAGCCTCGTTTCCATGCTGAAGCCAATTTTTTGCGAAATTTTAAATTAAAAAATCTCACACAAAGCTACTCATTCAGAAAGGTTATCATACAAATTTGAAAACAACTCATGCAGTAGTATCAGCTGATAACACTTAGGTTTTGTCCTTAGGTTTGGCACCGAAAAGTGGTCTGGCCCATGGACTGTTCTAACAAATGCTAGCAACTAGTTTTATAAGAAATTTCGGAGATACGACACACATACATTGTTTCTTACGAAACAAAGAGGATTGTCTATCCTAGGAGAGGATTAACACCTTATATCACCTCAATATTCACAAACAATTTACATCAAAGGAGGCTGAGAGGATAGTTTGAACAAACACCAGGGTGTTCGAAGTCCGAATAAGCTAACCCAGAATTCGAGAGAGGTTTGATTTCAGTTTTGTAACTTTTCAGTGAGGTTTTCTTTTTATATTGATTATCCTTCAGTTTTGAATCTCAAACCACACAAAACATAACAAGTGAAAAACATTTTTATGCAAGAAAAATTAAAACTTCAGTTAGCTTTTAATCCTGGGTTAGCATTAATCGGCTTTCGAAAAACCCGGCCTTGCGACGAATAATCTTAACACTTTATGCTCCCATAAAAAGGCATCTGTTTTTCCACTTTCACATATTGCAATTAATTGATGCTATTGCGATCAAAATGCCATGATTGGTGATTATTATAAAATCTCAAAAAACAGTGAATGAACAACAATGAGTCGGACCCCATTTTACGGACCCCTCGTTATTACAGGGAAAATGGCTTTGATCTCCCGCTGATACAGGTTAACCAACTAATCGCGAACGTCTCTAAAATTCGGAAACCTTTTGCCCAAAAAAGGAATCATTGTTAAAAATCTCCCAAATAATCCAAATCGTAATTAACTGATAAGGCGGCGCAAAACTTTGTTTTCAGTTCGGCAGCTGAAAACAAAATTTTAATTAAAATTCACAAATTAATCATGAATCAAGCGCCCGACATATTAACTGAGGCATCAACAAACTAGCCAAAAGTTAAAAAAAATTAAAAATGACATATGTCTATGACTTAAAAATTTCAACTTGCCGCTGACCCCGACGGGGAGGGGGGGGGTTACTCCCAGAAAAATTGGGTGGGGGTGTGCGGCCCGCCTCCCAAAACCCTTACCCTATTTATCACCAAAATCTGCGATATTCCCTACCCTACTTATGACCTGACCAAAAATTCGAAACCCTATTCATGACCTGACCCTAAAATCAAAACCCTGTTTCAGACCTGCGTTAAAATTAGTTCCCTAGTTCAGACCGATGTTAAATTACCGTAAACATAATTTGTGAGGGGCTTTTGCTGATTTTCTTTTCGATAATGACGAAAAAGTGGCTTCTTCTTAAAAACATACCCATATCAAGGCTAAAGTGCAAAAACCATACCCTATTTATGACCAAAATGGCCAAAATCAGCTAAAATCGATACCCTATTTATGACCGAAACGGCTGAAAAACCATACCCTTTGGGGCCGCACTTACCTATATAGCCCGTATAAGGGAGTACCCTCCCCCCCCCGGGCCGCTGACAAACGACTTAAATTAAAATTAAAGACCATATTGGTCTTTGGTAACTAGCAAATTCGACCTAACTTGCAGCCGCATGCTAACAATTATATTTGCCTCCTTTCTAAACTATAAACAATGTGGTTGAGACTTCATTCGACAAGGGAGTCAAGAAGACACTCCGTGGGGAGCCCGCTGACATGCAAATGTTTAAGCAAACGGCTCTGCGGTTTTTGACGTTTGGGTTAAATCGAAGACTTGTAGTTTTCAGAGCTCGTGAAAGGTTCACCGCGGTAACGGGGACGGCAGTATTTTGCTGTTTTCCGTCCACACTAAAACACAAAGCTGGCGTATTCAAATTTCTACGGTTGGAAGAGCGCCTTTCAAAAAGCTCCGCTTGCCTGAGGGATTAGTTTGGACGAAAGGCCTAACCGTAGAAATAAAGATGCGTTGTCAAATTTCTCCGGCGTAGTGTAGACGCTGCCTAAGTGTTGGCGTTGCACAAAATGATTTGGCTAAACTGTACCAAATTTGCATTTCCTTTTGCACGTGCCGAATGGACAAAGTAGCAAAAAGTTGTAAACCTTCGGTTAATTAGGCGAACGTTTCCTTCCTGCCCCCCACGAAATGACGAATAAAGATTGTTACAAAATTATTATCTGAAACTGCGCTTGTATTGATTTAAATTTCGCGGGTTTTCCGAGCAACCAAACATGTGTTCGCTTGTCGCTACATATCCAGTTCGCATTTGCATTCAAATTCCGTCTTGTTGTTATACTTTATTTTTTTCTATATGACGGTAGATTAGGTTAATGTTTTTTCGATCCTACATAACTAAAAAACAACCATCGACCTCATTCTCCCACCTCCGTACTAGCGATGTGACTCAAAAGAGCTCAATCTTTAATAGCATTTGCGTTCTCAAACACGCGCGCTTCCTTGTTCGAGGTAAAAATTAACAAGAATTCAGATAGAAAAAAGGAATTCATTTTGTATAGCTACGCAATAAACCCAATAGTTTTTCACAAAATGCACTTACCGTAACACTCTTGAAGAGAACACGTCTTTGCCTGTCTTTGGATTCCGTAAAGGCCCGCCCCAGAACATCTCGTTCGATCACGTGCCATGCAGAATCTCTGACGTATTTTGTGACATCTGTCATTACACGGACCAAACTTTGTCCAAGAACTCCAGGCTTTCAAGCTCTTAGCTTTCCGAGATTGAAAGAGAAAAAGAAAGATCCGTTTCCTCGTAAAATAGCCTTACGAACTATTTTCACAGTGACCCCTTTGTTTACATTATTTTTTACCATAATTGCTACTAATCTCGCAATCTGATTGGCTAATTTACCGTTGTCGATAAGAGTCCAGACAACGCTGCTCGCGTCAATGTGTCACGCATAACTTTTTCAGCTCGTGCTCTGAAAAAAAAAAAAACATTTTCTTTAACGTCGATATTGTGGTAAAAAACAAATCGAATGTGATGTAGCGTGGCCTACACTCTTATCGACAACGATAAGTGTCATCACAGTGGTCAAATTTGTTGTGGACCCACTCGGCGGCGCATGGTTTTGCCTGACAGAATTTGCTGACTCTCTAATATAACTAACGATACCATTGGCCGACCAATCATTCCGTAGAAAATGTAAAACTACAACTTTAAGCGCATCTGGCCTTCTTAAGACGTAATTTCGCCCAAAACCCAATTTTTTTGGCTTCCTTGTTGGCTCAAAGCAACCCCTCGTTTTTAGGTGGAAATTTACTGGTCGCGCGCCTAGATAGGTCCGCACTGCGGGCTAAGCTTTGGAAAGTTTATTCGCGTTGCTTTACTATGTCATATACTCACTTTTACAGTCGTATAGCGCATTCAACTGCTGTATGTCCGTCTCACTGAAGCCCTTTCTCTGACCGAACTGCAAGTTGGGTTGTTTGATGGCCTTTATTGTGCGCTTACCATTCTTGGAGAACGCATGACTCCCATAATGCATCAGGCTTTGGAAGTCGTACATGGCGCCAAGGTAGTCTAGTTTACCATGAGAGTACTTGTTAAAATTGTGAGCTTGACCTGTGACAGTAAGAGTAAGCAATGGAAAAGTTCACCATTACAGAAACTTCGAGTCCCTGGGAGCAGGTATGGCGCAGTGGTGAGAGCACTCGCCTCCCACCAATGTGGCCTGCGTTTGATTCTGGCCCGGTGCCATACGTGGGTTGAGTTTGTTGCTGATTGTCGCCTTTTTCCGAGGGTTTTTCTCTGGGTTTTCAGGTTTTCCTCCCTTCACAAAAACCAACATCTCCAAATTCTAATTCGACCAGGATAGAGCACCCGCATGAAAACCAGCTAAGGCTGATGTGACTTCCTCTCTAAATATTGTAATTTATTTATTCAATATTAGCAAGGAATTAACAAAGATATCTGACTGTTCGTGCCAAAAACCAACAGCATGCGTCAGCTCGTGTATACAGATACAAACAAGCAAACAAATAACATTGCCACAGTGATTATTTTTTTCTGGCTACGAGTCTGTGAATAATGAGTGCTGGTTTATCCAGTATTGAAGATCTTTTAAAAATCAATTCATTAGATCAGTTTATTTGAAATTTAAGATTACGGGTCAGAGTCATGACCAGAAGATAATTGCAATTTCCATACTCATAACAATACAAGCGAAGTACACGAACCACAGAAAGACGAAAAAATAGACGGAACAGACAGTCGTTCAGAGAACTGGACGGACGGACGGACGTACTGATTGACTGACCGGCCATCACACAGATAGACATGCAGCTAGCCAAAGAAACAATTAGACAGGAGGACAGGCAGATAGAAAAACGCGAAACAACTTTCAACTGGGTACAGAGGTGCTTTGTTTTCAGCCAACTCACCCTTGCCGACATTCTCCCACAGCACCTCCACGTACTTATTACGGTCAGTGCGTGACTGTTCGTGCCAAAAGCCCACTGCGTGCATCAGTTCGTGCATTATGATGCCTTTCTTGTCACAACCGGGTCCAACAGACAGGAGCTGGGGGCCTGGTTTAGAGACTTGCTGACCTACTGACGACCAACACCTGAAAGAGTGTTGAGTTCTTAGCGTGGTTGGTGAAAGGCATTGTAATAATGCCAGAAATACGATTTGCGGCAAAGATAGCTTGCGTTTTGGTTTTAACAAATTTTCATTAAAGCATTCAAAGAGTTCCTAAATCTTTCTGCCCAACTAAGGAAGCCCATGAGGGATCTTATGATGTCATGAAAAGGCGTCACGTTGCTAAGCAACCTTCGTAAAAAATTGCGGGCTCAGTTCACGGATTACGACTGAATAAGGTACTCAACAGCATTGATTTGAACGAGTTTAAGAAGCTTTCCACTGCTTTTCCAGTAAAAAATCACTCCTGTGATTCTAACAATAGAGAAGGACGGCATCCAAGATTATATTCTTACCCAGGCCGTTTGACGAACCAGATCCAGTGCCTCTGTTTTTTACGCGGTTTAAAGTGTATACAGGTGTGTCGGTGAAACTCTTTTATGGCGGCCATTATGACTCTTCTGGCGCGAACTGAAAAGGAAGTCTTCAACACTTAAACAACTTTCACCGAACCCATTAAGATTCAAGATTAACCGACCAACTCTCCCTACTGATGGCTACGGATAGATTTCTATGATTAAATGCTAGTTGAAAGAACTGGAAACTAAAATCTTGAAGTAGAAACTGCCAAGTGTGAACTTTCAAGTCGATAAAACTCGGCTATGTTTGGAATGCGCTTGACTATGTTCAGATGTGCTCGACATTCTTCGAGACGTGTTCAGCTACGTTCAGGATATGCTCGGCTACGTCCAGGGTGTGTCTGATTATGTTGGGGATGTGCTCAAATACTCTTGGAATGTGTTTAGCTATGTTCGGGTTATGCTCGACTATGCTCGGGTTACGCTTATGTGCTCGGTTATGTTCGGCCTGCACTCTTGGAATGTTTTGTTCCTTTTTAACTTATTAATACTTACACAGAGCTGGTGATATTCTGTACGGCACAACGCGGGTTTTCCACAGTTTTTGTCTGTTTCGAATAGCGTTTCTTTTTATCAAGTCTCTATTTCCTGGACCGTCTGCATCTCCTTCCTCTCTCTGATCAACTTGACGCTTGTCTTCATCAGACAACACGATATCTGCCTCGTAGAGTTTGTCTTTAACACCTGCAAGATTTTGAAAATGTAGATGTGGGATTGTCCACTGTACACCGCTGGCACGCGTATAGCATATTGTACTAAAAAAATCGATCTAATAAGGGCAACATTGTTATTTTGTAAAAGCAATGTCGAGTCAGGCGACGCTGGCATAGAAGATGGGAAGCAGAAAAAAAACTTTTTCTGCCATTTACGAAATAAGTTACACATTCAAAAATGTGTAACTTAGGTCCGAAGCCCACAGGTATGAGGTACAAAACGTGTGATTTCTTTTCTTCTGTCAGAATGCTGAGCTCATGCAATAAATAATGCCAAATTCCGCCATACACCCAAGAAGGTTTAAACTGAGTGTTATGTTCAGTTCTAATTTTGAAAACCGCGCGCGGGCTGTACCAAATCAAACACTTGTCTTTCGTTCCCAGTCGCCTCTTCTCTGGCGTGCTACCTTCCTAAGATGCCAGGCGCTCCTTATATGATATGGTGGGTGACCGCGCAATTTCCTGTTAATAAATGGGGACTGGAAACAGAGACTGTAAAAATCAAAACAGGAGTAAAACAAACCATCATTCAATCCTTCAATGTTATTTAGCACCGCATCATCTTGCTTGTCCAACTCAAGTGATGTTATCTTTCCACTAATCTTTGCTTCGCCTGTAAATGGAAAAGGTTTGAATGTGTCAGTTAAACATTCGATTTGAATGCTGAGCCAAAGTTGAGTAGTGTTAGAAGAAAAAAGTGTTTGATGTGAAACTACGCATTACACAAACAGTTTACCAGACTCATGAAACAATCATAACGGAAAAATTTGTGACGAATATGCACGTCTTTATAAAATATGATAAGGTGTTCTGCCAGATAGTGTAAACATTTCGGGAACTATGATAAGTACAAACAAAGCTAAACTTTTAGTTTTTTTCATCTCTTCTCATGCTCTTATGGAAATTTGCATGTTTGGCAATACAGTCTCATTCTAGCGGATGACTTTCCTTTTTCTTACAACCTGTCTTCATAACAGAGCATTTATTGAGTAAAGAGAAATTGAACGTTGATAAATCTATCAAATGAAAGGGAAATTATCGCTAGTTCTGAGCAAGTTAGAGGTAGCCCTCTAAACGTTTTGAAACCCTAATTCAAAATTTTGTTCCAGTTGTGATTTCGGTGTTGGAGAGCAGTGAAAAAAAAATTGTGTTTTGTCTTCTCTGAGACTTAACTAAGGTAGCTTAATTTAATTGAAGTTTCTGTGATCCGGGAATTTTACAAATTACATACCTGAGATAGAAGTCGGACACGTGACACTGAACCAAACGATGCAGACGAACACAGCGAGGACAGCGGCCATCACTGGACGGCTTCTCGTGGGAATCATTTTGTATAAACATTCCTCGTATTTCAACATTTAAATAAATTTCCTCGAAACCTTCACCTGTTGAGCTGGTTATCTCTATAAGGCACCTGTTTACCGCCTGCTCGTAAAGCATGTCTTGGTCGAGTTTCGTTTAGACAGCATAATCTGTTCGCATTGGTGCGAGTTTGTTTGGCAGATGGAATCGTATTGATATTTAGAGAAAACAATACCTATTTTGCAGTCCGCCGCACATTTAAAGAAGCTTTCATCACGGAAGCGCTTGTTGAAAGCTTAGCCTTTTTTCAAGTTCATCGTTCTTTGAAGCCTTGTAGCTTTATCGAATGTAAGTCTTCTCAAATTGACCCTCTTAATCAATATTTCTCGATATATTTTTTCAAGATCATGATTTAAAATGGCATTATGCTCTATATCTGTAGTTATCGCTGGAGTATGTCTGTTGGATGCCGTGTCCTAGTTTTCCCACATTACTTTGGTATATCTCGCAGTGTCTCAAAACCAGTAAGAGCTCTGTTAAAGCCCTGGGTGTTATTTTGTTACGTCGTTTGTGGGAGAAGGGTGCGGGGATGGGGGTAGCGGGGATGGGGGTAGCGGGGGGAGAGGCTATTAGGCAGGGGGAAACCATTTACATTCGTGAATCAGCCAGCACATGAAAGCGTAAATATGAGTCTGTTTAAAGTTTATTTTCGACAACGAATCTCATCAGAAAAGTGAAATCAAAAAAGTACAAGCGGTAAATGTAAAACTTTAAACACGTATGGCTACCTTTTCTGCTCATAAATTTTCTTGGCTATCTATATCATCTTTTGAATGTTATTAAAATTCTGTAATTCCAAATTCTGTAATTTAACGCTTAAAGATTAAAAAGTTCTACAGTGTTGCAAGACGTTATTAGAGAACGAACATACAAGAGAGGTGACTTATTTGAAAAAAGTTATCTATTGCGATTAAAAAAGATTACCAAATCTTGTGTGCTTTGATCAGGCAGCTTTACCTGACAAAGGTACCATTTCAGGCTGAGCCTCTCTTTAAAGAGTACCCTATGGGAAGTAACCCAATCCCCCCTTTGAGTGTAGCTTTATCGAATTCAAGTCTTTCAGTATCATATTCCATTCTGGTTGCTTTGCCGTAAAGATATTAAAATAATTTTGCAATATTTATCGGGCCTGATAGTGAGATAAAGAATTGATTACCAATGTAAAGCGCCATTGAGCTCTGGAAATGAGCACTGTGTAAATTCATGTATGTTAATTCAAGTATATTATTACATTATTACCAATGCCTACTGTTAAGTAAACGAAACTGCGTTTGTACATGTCCATAACAATAACATAACATAACAGATAGCATGCATGTCAGCACGTTATCTATTCCTGGCCTTAAAATAAGTTTATTTCATTTCTTTAATTTTATTTTATTCATTCATTTACTTTTTCATTTTGTCTCTATGCATGTATTTACATTTGTATTTTCACTTGCCTAGTAAAGTATTTATTTGTTTGTATGTTTGCTCAATCAGTTACTTAATTTCTTTTTATTATTATTTAGTTCAGGATTTACTTTTTGTACTCGGTATGATCTTATAGATAATATTTGTTAAGGCATTTATCTTTTAGCTTTTTAGTCTTGTTCTTGTTCTTGTTCTTGTTCTTGCTCTCTTGCGCCAGTCACCTAGCCAGCAAAAAAACAAACAAACAAACAAACTCGCAGTCAACGGTTGTACGAAAGCCGAGGAGGGACTTCAGACTTCAGACTTCAGACTTCAGACTTCAGACTTCAGACTTCAGACTTCAGACTTCAGACTTCAGTCGTAGAACGCAAAACAAGTGAGCGTGTGAGCTATGATGCCGCGAGCCGCTAGTAGCGCGGGTCCAGCTCCTATGTCGCCGTTCGCAAGTCACGCTCGGACGCTTACTTGTTTTGCCCCACGTTCTTCCCCACGGACTTTCGAGGAAAATAGAGACTGCTCGCAGTCTAGAAAAAGAGGAGCGAGCAATAAAGAAGCGACAGCGAAATGTACATGATATTTGAATAACAATACTTTATACATCCCAAGCCTTCTTTTCATGTGAAAAACCTGCGTCTGAAAACATAAAAACAAGGCTATTCAAATTATGCATAGTGGCCATAGTGGCTATATTTGATGCTCTTGGTGTTCATGTAAATTGTCGTAGTATGGAGGATACACGTGTGTTAATAGGAAAACTAACCATTTTTCTCGCGGTATTTAGGCAATTTCGTTGTTAACATCGCATTTGTACACTATAGGCTCCGACAAGAAACATAACAACGCAAGATGACAAATTTAAAAACAACACTTTCACCGGTTAGAATAAGATCCGGTCTACGACTGAATCTGAAGTCTGAAGTCTGAAGTCTGAAGTCTGAAGTCTGAAGTCTGAAGTCTGAAGTCTGAAGTTCCTCCTCGGCTTTCGTAGGACAATGGACCAGCAATGCGTGAGCGTAACTTTGCTGACGACGTTGAAATTAGCGCTGAGTGAAATCAGAGCGCTTGTCAATTGAGTGTCGTGAAACCAACTCCAAAGTTATCACTCTAGCCTATCACAAAGAGACAACCTTGTCAACCAATCAAAACTTGAAGGTGATAAAGACCAATAAATGTAGCTGACGCGAAGCGCGGGAAAACGTGTGCGAGCCAGTCACGTTTGGTCTTGGCTTTAATCCTGATTGGTTGAAAAAGTTGCGCGAGTTTTTACGCGAATTGCGTGGCGTAGTGATGCTTAAGCAAAGCAAATTCGAACTTCTTTCGAAACCCAAGTGAGAACTACTTAAAGAAGAATTAATTTTAAAAAAATCCTGCGAATTTTAGTCATTCGCGTTACTCTCATGAGGCATTAACCCCCTTTCACGAGTTAGTTCTTTAAACGGAGTTAATGTTCCCTCCATTGACTTCAACAATGGCCAATTTTGGGGAAAGACAGCACTCCTGTAACAAAACTCCAATGGAAGTGACAACTTACTTGTTCCTGTAACTTTATTGGAGCACTTGCATTTGGGTCTGTTTCCTTTGCACATCTGCACATCAACAAGCGATCCTTCGCATATATTGCCGTCAAACTCAGGCGGAGGGTCGTCACACATCCGGGATCTTGTTTGGTAGCCTTTACCACAGGTTTTACTGCAGGCGCTCCAGGCTGCCCACCGACCCCAGTGGCCGTTTAAGGGGACTAGAAACAAATGATGAAGAATAATCAAAGATCTCATATAAGTGATCTAGGCTTTTCACAAACGTTTTCAAAAACAGTTCTGTTTTTGTGTTGCTTCATGCATTTGCTGGGTTCATATCCCTGTTATTTATCATACTCGAAGCAACAAGCGAGAGAATTAACTTCTTTCATACAATCAGTCAGAAGCAATCAGCCGCGCGTTCTCCTTGTCACAATATATCCTGTGTTTTCCTCGATTTTCCACCCCTCCCCCCCCCACCCCTTGTTTATTGCCCTTAACAGTCTGCCGCGTTTGCCACCGGTTGCAATAGAGAGGTTAAGCATGACGTTAACGGCAGACAGCAAACGGCAAAGATAACTTCTGATTATGAGTTCTTTTCTCCTAATCCGTAAATAAAGCATACAAAAATGGAGTAACGTCTCTTACTATTCATTGCAAATACAAATAATTTCCCTCTACTGTAAATACAGCTGAAGAGAGACGGCAAAAGTTTCATTTTTGCCGTTTGCCGTTTGCCGTAAACGTCATGCTTAACCTCTGTAACATATTCCTCGTTTTCCGTGCACTATATCAGGCATTGTAGANGCTGAAGAGAGACGGC